CCTCTGCCCCCTGACCCCTCCCTCTGCCCCCCGACCCGTTTATCACATCTGGGTTTTTTTTACATGTCGACGTCACTGGTTTATCAGGTGAGGACTAAACAAAGGAAGTGATGTCATACTGCAGTGATGTCATATGACGACATTTATGAAACAACAACAGAAGAAGAAGAGAAACAACAGGAAGTGTAAAGAGTTCCACTGGAGAACACTGTTGGAGTCTGTGGAACCAGTTCTTCCCACGTTCTGTTCCAACACCTGAACGTCTCTCAGCCTACGTAGGACCTGACGACTGGGTTTGATAGTGGGTTTTTAGGAGCATACTGCCCCCTACTGGACTGGAGTGTGTAGTGTCATGGTCTGACCAGGATAACCAGCCTCCTCCTCACACCTTGATGCGAATCAATTTTTATTTTAACCGATGAGAATTGTCTCTGTGTGTTCTTACTGTGGACGAACACACAGGTAGGTGGCAGCAGAGCGCCGCTCAGTGGTGGGCGTTTCATGAAGTAGATCAGATCGAAGCCCGACGTCGTCGACCTGTTTATGTCAGAACTCAACGAGAAAACGAACAGAAGAGACACGAACAGAGAACTATTATTTTCTCTCTCTGTCTTGAAATGAGTTTTAGAGATACGTCAGTGTGTGTGTGTGTGTGTGTGTGTGTTATCAGCTCTGCTCCCCATTTCTTATTTTTATTAATGGTTAATACCCTCCTATGAAATGTCATCATCCATTTTCTGCCCCTGTCCCCCCGGGGGAAATGTTTCTGCTGCGAGGGCAAAAATCCAGCTCAGTTTGTTGTTACAAAAAAAAAGAGAAAAAAATCTGAGTCCAGTCCAGTCCAGTACAGTTAAATACAGTACAGTACAGTACAGTACAGTTCAGTACAGTACAGTCCAATACAGTCCAGTTCAGTACAGTACAGTTCAGTACAGTACAGTCCAGTACAGTTCAGTTCAGTACAGTCCAGTACAGTATAGTATAGTACAGTACAGTACAGTACAGTCCAGTACAGTACAGT